TATATATATGTATATATATGCATTTACTTAAGAATTGAACGTCAGTTTGGATGGGTTCATTGAAGTGTGAACGATTTAATAGCGGTGGTTAAACTGTGTGAACCCCCGGGCTTCTTATTATTTCATACTCTGTAGTTTACTAGTCTCGCCGAATAATATCGTAATAATGTTTGCTTAAATTTGAAGTCCTCTGGTTTCGCCGAAGAACATTGCAACAATGTTATTTTGCCAGTATTTCCTGGCTCTCGGTCACATACGTTTCCCCAAATTAACAAACAATATTTGGGATAAATCAAATCTTAACAATAGGTTACAGGAAGGTTAACAAAAATATAAACATTGCCTCGATGCACCGAGGCGAGATCAACCTTCAAGTGCGGATTTATATATATGACATCACATAAGTTTGTAAAGAGGAGCATTTCGAGTCGAACGGGAGCATATGGATGAAATTTATACTTAATGCTGTTGAAAATGACGTTTATGGGGCCGTTATGGAAAACACCCCGGCGCGTGAACCCTCTCATAGCACTAGCAAATTGGGAATATTACCGATTTATGAATGTGTTGCTTGTGTTTGGATAATCGCAGTGGTGGGGATTGAACCGAGTGCTCTGAAACTTATGTATTTTGTGTACATTTTCAACGTCAGAGTGTGTTATATTTGGAGTTTGGGATTTGTCGCGTGTGCTGTAATATTTTGCCTAGCTGGTGTTTCTTGCCACCTGAGATGGACCTACTGTATGACCAGCTTCATTTCTGGGCCCGTCACTCCTCGTGTGCCGCCGGTTCTCGGCCTAGAATGCACGGAGAAGGTCGGCCAACTCAGAAACCGGAATAGTATATTTCTAATTTCGTCTGCGGATATTTTCTCGTCTCCGTTGACCAATCGGTAAAACAGGCAAGTGTTTGGGGTTTTTTTAAATTTATGTTGGTGTTTTATGGTTTCTCAAAAGCTTAGATTTTTTTCCCGATGCGATAGTGAATCAGGTTTTAGTTTGGGATTGATCAGAAGCAGTCTTTGCTCTGTGTCAGCGGCTACATCTGAGCAGGGTACTACATTGTTTTCATTGTTGCTAGATTCCTGTCATTTCTGAAAACAAGGCATCAAAGTCAATATCGCTCAATAAATCAATTTCGTTCACCTCAGTAATTTTACAGAATTAATTTTCTTTTCTTGCATTATTAGTATTGAAAGATAGCCATTCCATATCCAAATCACCATAAGGACAATCCATTTGGTTTCATGTAGCAGCTAGACATCAAACACCAGAACCAAAGCATTTATTCATTGATAGTCAGATGAAATGTTACAAGACCAAGCAAAAATACTAAATTAATTACATTGCTGATAAATGTAGAGAAAATAGAAAAAACGAGTTGATCGTAAACACCGATCGAAAATTCGGGGCAACCCCGGAAAGTAGTTCCGGCAAAAGTTCACACGATCAATTTCGCAAAAAATTGTTCACCTCGTGTGAACTTTTTTTTGTCCGTTCACAGGTGTGTGAACTCCAAACAGATCACGTGACTACCCATTCAGCCAATCAGCATGAAAGAAACAGTGTAAACTTCAAAGTATGAAATTATTTGCATTTATGTGTCTCTTAGGTCGTTTTGGCTGGACAATACACGATCTATGTTGACATATTTAATAGATGCATGTATTACAATTTGCACTTGATTAAGGTATGTCGTGTGACGCAACAATAAACTTTATTCTTATCGTATGAACGAATCAGATCAATGGAAGAGCACCAACTCACGACAACTGCTCATCGTGTTCATTGACAACGGGATAATGAATGATTATATGTGTGGAATAATGATATCAATTGTAGTTATTTTCACTCAAAGACGACCATATATCGATCACTTGATGACAGCGTTTATTCAGTAATATTTTTTTAATTTGAAGTTTACACGATATACGGCTTTTCCATTGGACGAGAGAACGGTCACATGACCTCGAAATTGACGTTCATAAGTGTATGAACGACACAATTTGACGTTCATACGTTTTTCACGAGACCGTGTTCTTGAAATGACGTCAACACTGACGGACTACTTCCACATTCCCGGGGAAACCCCTGGGAATTCCCCAGCACGAAAACATACATAAGTGTTCTATATGATCATTTAGAACCTTTATTCTTGATCTCAGCGTTTCAGTATACATTGAGAAATGTCAGAGAGCGTCACTACATGATTGTTTACGAATATCCTCGCCACGGCCTATCCTAATGAATAAACGAAGAAATTCACATCTAAACTATCATAGTATCGACTCGATCCGTCTCTTCGGCTGACAATGACCGTCTCCAGCAATCTATGAAATTACCTTTGTGTCTGTTTGACGCATCTTTATTCACCTTTCAATGATCGGCCAGTTGATCAATGATGACTAACACATGTAACCGCCACAGGTTCATTAACAACTTCGGAAATCTCTCCCGTCACGTTTATCGTGTCAGCCATTTTGACGTCTTGTACTTGTTGTAAATGTATTACGACGCGCTGTCATTGTGACTGACTTAATGAGGTAGTTCTTTACAGAACTTTCTCATCTAATGAGGATATGATTTGAAGACATGTGCTGCGTAAGATGTTTCTGAAGAGCAAGTTGTACATCCATACGCTCATGCCACTTCTCTTTTTGAGGAACTATTTTACTCCGCGATATAGCTGGTTGTTGTATGGCTCTCATTGTAAACATGAAGTCGGATTACGGGATAATCTGTTTTTCTTTATATGGCAAACATGGTTGTCCAAATACGTAAGAACCATGCCCGATCTATCCACCCGCATATGTCAACTATTAATACAATCATTGCTTCGTTGAGTAACCTACATGTGCATCTGAATCCCTCTATAGCACGTTCAGTGCTTTCAATGTATTTAATGTATCTTGTATATTTTATGTTTGTTTCATATATATAAATATATATTCGCGTATTGGAAACATGATCTGTGACAATATGAAGAATAAACATATAAAGAATAAACTACATTGTATATACACGTATAGCAAACACTGTCTGCGACAATGTGAACTATCTGCGTTTGTAGGAAGCACTGAAAGCGATAGTGGGAAGTATATAATGTACATTTATAGGAAGCACTGTCTTGAATAATGTGAAATATTTGCGTGTGTTGTTAGCACTGACGGCGAAATGTGAAGTGTAATACGTGTATAGGAAGCACTGTCTGGGACAATGTGAGCTATATACATGTATCGGAAGTACTGTATGGGACAATGTGATCTATACACATACAGAAGGCACTGCTCGGTTAGAAACAATATGTATCTAGAACCTGGACACTATGCCATGATACCAAACATTAACACAAATGTGAAACGTATCAATGTGCTAATCAGCCAACCAAACGGTAGATGAAAGCGCGAAACCAAGAAATTAACAGATCATGAATCAGAAATACAAAAGAGAACGTGTTTATTACAAAACGGTTGTAAAATTAACAAATACAATTGAATGTGATATATGATAGAATACAAGTATTGTTCAATATTGTTTCTATTGAACTTTATATATAAATTTTCAAATTTTTAATGTTGGTTGGTTGGTTGGTTTGTTGTTTAACGCCGCAATCAGCAATATTCCAGCTATATGAAGGCGGTCTGTAAATAATCGAGTCTGGACCAGACAATCCAGTGATTGATATCATGAGCATCGATCCACGCAATTGACATCGATGACATGCATCACCCAAGTCAGCGAGCCTGACCACCCGATCCCGTTAGTCGCCTTTTACGACAAGCATAGTGACCATTTACGGCAAGCATGGGTTGCTGAAGACCTATTCTACCCCGGAATCTTCACGGGTCCAAATTTTTAAGCACGACATCAACAATATATTATACAATATCATACAATGATAAAGAATAAAATACACCTCCTTCATAGATCTATGAAATAGTGCAAGTCAAACATGTAGAATATGTTTATGCCCTTGACAAATATATTATACAATGCCATAAACATACACTGCCAATATTAATGCAACTTGTATACTGTGATTAAACGCTTTGATGGTGTGACTGATGGATTCACACACTTAATTAGTTACCAATTTGTTTTGTTCTCATTAAGTGTAGGCATTATAATCAGGTATAATGTTAACTGACATTTTATTTAAGAATTCCAGCATTATTAGTGAAATGCTTTACCCAAATGTTCTTGGCATTACATATTTACTGTGAAGACAACTGAACAAAAATGTCAAAAATGTCATGTATTCTGTGATTTATGCATCTTACAAACCACGACCAGTAGTGTGGGATATACGTGTTGGAACACCTCACATGCAAAAAATCTTATGTTTCAAGTAATCGGGTTCATTGTTGAACCTAAGGACAGGCCAAGCAACTTCTCATCTCCGCCATTTGGTTAAATCGATTGTTGGAAGATCGTTGCAGGGTATCATGGGATTGCTGTAAAATACAAAAATTATGTCATCCCATTAAGATAGCAACATACTTCATGTGATCAGGTTTGACATTCGTATCCTATATAACTGAATGAGCCTGAATATGTTATATTCAAAGTGTGTCACGAGGTGTAAATGGATCCAGGATACAATTCTGATCAATGTTCACTAAATGAAGTACGCCAGATATACCCTGTCGCATGTTGATATGAGTTCTGTCTGTGTGAAATGATTAATTACTGACAAATGATGAAGCTAGATGTCTTCATTGCCTACCTTTCTTTTGAGTACACTGTAAAAGGATCTCTTTGGATGGACTTCACTCCTGAATTCCTACAAAGAATTTTAGCAAAGCGCATTCGTCGGATCTCAGACAGTTGCCCTGAAATAGAAAATGTCATTATTATTTATATGTACAATCACTTCGGAGAACAAGAGAGTATCTTTCCACACTATTGTCAGTGAAACAGCAAAACATTTTGATGAATAGAATGAAACGTCACACAAACAAAATTGTATAGCGTTTTCATCTTAAAGGTATGTTAGGTTATCTAATAAGTACATATTTTGACATAAAACAAATATGTTAACAAACCATACAAGCACGCAGAAATACAAACAGATTTGGCAGTACCTGATGTAAAGCCCTTTCTTGGATGAGATGTTTCGAACCAGAATGAGTCGCCATATTTCAGATCATGAAACTGTTGACCAATCAGACAAGCGAGGAGTGGGCCCACTGCACCGCCATGCAAGTGTTGTTCAGCTACTGCACCGGTAAATATGTCGATGTCATCAGGGGAACTGAAGCAAGAATACACATATGTAAGGAGATCTTGAGAAATGTCAGAGAAGAGTTAAACTATCTTTATTTTTTAAATTTGTTACACTAATTCTGTTCACATATAAGAGTAAATTAAATAAGACAAACCTGTATACACTTTTCAAAGCAGGTCCTGCTTTACCAAATACACTGTCATCAAATGAAGTCACTTCCGATAGCTGGCATGCCTTGCGGAAGTTGTTGTATGATGGCAGGCCATGGTCACGACCTCTCTGAATGTTTAAGGACACGATGTCAAAGCCGTTATTGCCCGACGTCTCAAACAAATGCTCAGTCATCCCACTGTTGATGAATCGGTTAACCTCCTGATGTCTGTCCTTGAGGATAGCCTTCAGCACGGTGTCCAAATCTTTGATGACTTCAGAAGGTCTGTTGAAGAGCTGTTCTATGGGTACATGTCGATCTCCGAGGGTCAGGAAACGTGGAATGGTGGAGTGGCCGTATCTGAAGGCGGCGGTGGCAAAGACGTTGTAGATGGTGGGGTTTTGGGTGATGTTGTACCTGAAGCTGAAGCCAGGGGTCAGTCTGTACTTCCTCATGGCCAAGGGCCCAACAATAATGGGCAACCATTCGCGGTAGGTGACTTGTTGGATGATGGCTGACACGATCTTTCTGGCCTCTTCAAACAAGACATCATCAGGAGTGGTCGATGGCATGACATCAGCAAGTTCTTTGACAAGACGGTTGTGTTCTCGGACAAACACGGTGTGTAGCACGGCCAGACCAGGGAACACGTTCACACGGTCGTCACCTAATGATGAAGTTAGTTATAAAGAAGTTGTGACAATGTTGTGAAATGAATTATCCATATCATTTCAATTGTACCAAATAGTCATGTGTGAAGTACTTTATGAACAGACTCTGAAAATATTACTTTGAATACATTAATAAGTTGTATTTACCAGCTTCAAAACACCATTCGTTGGTCTTGCTTGTTCGACAGTTGCCTTGGTTGGATTCTGGCAACAGGTTATCTCCCTTGATTTTTAAGTAGGCTGAAAAGTTGAATGACGACATTAATTTGTATGTAAAAATTACTCTCGGGGGTATGCTGTCAAAATGTAACATATTTCTTTTATCACAAATTATAATTCATTACTAAATATTGCCTGACTTACGTCCGTTCCTGAGGTGATTGATCTGATCCTGACTGAGGCCGTACACGTTAGAGGCGTCCACGAAGGACGTCAGTAGGTTCAACTGTTCCCGGGTATCTGGAAGTGACATGGTTTTCAATTAAACATGGGTATTATCATACAGTGCTGTTTATGGCTTCGTTACTTAATACGTTATGTTAGAAAGAACAGATAAATAATGACTGAACAACCCAATGTTGAGATGAGGTAACCTTCACAGCTTAGTATTCATATACTCACTCCTTCCAGGTGCTGGGGCTGATCTTTTGAACTCCATGCATTTCTTTTGGAAATGTCCTTCATTTACTGGCATCGTGATCGGGGAACAAGGGCCGCTGGAACAGCGAAATAGCAAAAGAATTAACATGTTTCCTTGTTCCAATCAAACATTGTTATGATAATGCTTATGATATGTTATGATGCACAAGCACATGTATGTGATGTACTCGGGATTTTACAGTAGAGGTTTATGGTGATGGAAAGGCTTTTTTCTCTTTCATCCCAATTATAATAATGTCTACAATGCCACGTAATTTCAAAGTCTGTTCTAAATATGACGACCAGTAATTTCGATTAACCGAAACAGAATGATTAAGTGTGGAAAATATAGAATGTTGATTGCTTACCCAGCTTGTACATCAGAATGCATCTTTCCTATTGTGTGACCATCGCAACATTTGGAGTGAACATCACCTTGAAGGAATTTGAGGATTTGTAAAGTTCACAGATGGATAGCTTAATGATGAAAATAGGTTCGAAAAATATGGATTACAAAAACAAATATCACAGTTTGTCTGATTTCAACATCACACTTCTGGTCACTTTAATAGGCAGAGAGTTTTGGCCACTTGGCACCTACCTGCATGGAGAGGAGTTCCGGTGAGATCATGGTCCACAAACTGCCCCCACTGCATCACCATCACCGTGTGGTCGTTAGAAGGACTGTCAACTCCCGGATGTACGGCCACACTGATGGCACGTGGACTGGGAAGGGGATAACCATCAACGCCTCTCATTCGGGGAACGAACTTGCCTGGAAAGCCAAACCTTTGCTTTAAAAGTTCCCTTGTGCATGGTTAGTTGTGTGATATTGAAAGGGCATAACTTAATGTCAATGGAATAATTACAAGACTTGCTATCAAACGGTCTGGTTTATTAATGAGTTGCCATGGTTATTAGCATGAAACAATGATTTTTAAGTTCTTATATCAATATGATATCAGAAGAAAACCTGCTCTTTACCATCATCATATGCAGGATCAATAAATCTCTTGAATGGTTGGTTGGTGGATCCCCAGGCTGGCCAGCGAGCATTGTTGCAACTTCCGTCCATTGTCCGGTAGCCGACGTCTTGTTTGCAGTCGATAGAGCGCCGTCTGAGGAAGTGAATGCTGTTATCAAATCTGATGGTAATTGGTGTAGGTATCAACTACATTAAACTCTCAACCACAAACGAAGGAATTAGTACGAAACTGACCTAATGGTGTGTTTGTCTTGATACTTGGATGTGCTGATGTCATCTAAAGAGATCTGAGACGTCTCGGCGGCGTCAGCCAGTGTACAAACAACATAATTGTCTTCGTCATCACCTACGTCAAAGTAAAGGCATCAACACACTGCTTACTATCATGGGACAATTTAAGTGTCATTTTACTTCGTAATTCTTATCAAAGGTCGCCCTATCTGAACTACTTGATGGTCTATATTGTATAATGATGTTTGAGAACGCGTATCAGCAAAATATTTGTTTTAAATAATCAGACTTTGTAATCGGTATAACTCAGATGCAATAAATCCTTTGAAGTATACACATATAAGTTATATTGTTTCAAAACAAAGTGAATATCTCAAGCATGGTATAATGCTTCACAATATAATGAAAACTGGACTAAAGTAGGGACCAATTCAATGTATTTACTGACAAATAAGACAGTATGATCAGATTTGTCAGTTAAAACAAATCGCTAAAACATGGATAGTGATTCCGTTAATGTTGAACATTAAACTTCTTACCATGCAGGAGTCTGAACATCATGTCCATTATTCTGATTTCTCTGTCCAGCGTTTGTCTTTTAACTGTTCCTTGGTGGTCAACCCACGTCGTTGGTGAACTTTGTGTCGCACCAGCAACATAATCTAATAGGTAAGTAAGTAAGTTTGAACATCAGCTTAGAGAAATAGGGCTGTCATAGATTATGAATGCAATCGAAAAAACATTCAAGTTAGAAAGATTTCATGTGCATCGTTCAGGGTATATCCAAAACCATATTTACACATCTTATGTCTGTATATCTCTTTCAATCTTAGAATTCAATACAACATTATTATCTCCAACCATCGTTACATCAAATGTATATCTCGACTTGTCACAATGTACCCGGTGTGAACTTACTGTTCGTTTTGGACAAATCAGGGAATTTCTTGTTGGTCTCACGGTCCATTCCAAACAGATCTGATTGTATTGCCTGGACTGAAGGAAAGGTAGTTTACTTAAAAAGCTCAGCTCACAAAATATGATATCTATACTTTAATGCATTCCAATTATATTTAGTAAAATTCATTTAAAAATTTACGTCACTACATTGAAGGACTAAGCATAATAGTAAGCAGAAGGGTTGGCATGTTTAGAACTGTTACTCTTTATTTCAGCATGTAACATGATCCCAGTTGCGTGAGTTACACCCAAGCAGAAGGAACTAAAATAGTATTATTCGGTCCTTCACTATTGCTTGTCATTATATATTTCATTATTTTTAAAAGACTATACTCACGTTGCTCAATGACGGATTTGATGTTGTTTACCTATAAGGAAATGAGTGAACATCGGTTAAATAATTGGTCTAGGGTAAAACAGATGTGATAATTTCAAACACCGTAGGCCACCCGTAAGTTTGAACATGATGAGAGAAAGCAGTTTTAGAACCATAAGTCCATAGTAAGAAATTACATAATATTTCTTATATGTACTGATTTTCTACAGACATTCAGTATCCAGATTAATACTAATACCGATAATGAGAAAAAGAAGAAAAAGAAAAAGTAGAAGAAGAAGAAGAAGAACCAAAAAACAACCTACCTCTGTGTCCGCCTCTCCAGCAGTGACCGCGGTCAACATACACACAAACAACACAACTTTCATCGTTTCTGCTTCTGTCCAGTACAAAGTGGGAATGTCTGATACACCAAAGATGGCACCGTGTATTTATACTCATATTCCTGGATTAAATCAACACAGATTACCCTTTAATTCACTCTCCCCTGGTGGGTATAATCCGACATCTGCATGGGGAACTAAACATTTTGGATTATGTGGAGGCAGGCTGAATATCCCGGAGCAGCGTCATCACCGCCATTGTTCTTGGTGTGGCAGTTGGTAAACAGCTTCTCATCAGAGGGTATTATTGACATGCATTGTTATGATTATATGTCATAGTAGTGTAAAACTAAGAACTGAAACTGGAGAATGTATCAGTTTCTTGTTTATTGACCTAAGAAACTAATAAAATAATTAATGTATCCAACAATCTCTAAGGATCTTCTCCACAAAATATGTCACGTGACCCTTCCCTTCAGATATGTAGTTCTTTTAGCTTGAACATCACAAGGATCTAATCAGTATATTTACTTTAACTTGCTACTGTAATTTTAATCGTTTTCATAATGTACTTTGAGGACATATTTTCAATACACCATCTCTTTCTTATTCCGTAAGAGGCGACTAACAGGATGGTCAGGCTCGCTGACATAGTTGATGCATGTCATCGTTTCCCATTTCCGTAGATCGATGATCATAATGTCAATCACTGGATTGTCTGGTCTAGACTCGATTGCCGTCATACAGCTTGAATACTGCTAAGTGCGGTTAATTCATTTTTATTTATACAGAGAAGTTTTCAAGTAGTAGTAGCAGCAGCAGCAGTAGTAGTAGTAGTAGTAGTAGTAGTAGTAGTAGTAGTAGTAGTAGTAGTAGTAGTAGTAGTAAATATAGCAGAAGTAGTAGTAGTTGTTGTTGTTTTAGTAGCGATGTTGCAGTAGTGGTATCCAATATGATCAAAATGTCAATTACAGGAATGTCTGGCCTGGACACGAAACAACAATCAAACAAGCAAATCTTTCAAATTCATTTTTATTCACACAGCTTATTTTTCAAGTAGTGGTAGTAGTAGTAGTAGTAGTAGTAGTAGTAGTAGTAGTAGTAGTAGTAGTAGTAGTAGTAGTAGTAGTATCAAGTATCACGTACCCATGTTATCTGCCAAAGATTCGCTTATCCATACTCGATGAAACATACATACTGACTGTTGTCAACGTTGACAACCAGTACTTACTTTCCAGAATAATAATTGAGATATGTGTGTACAACATAAAATGTACGACTGGACTTCGTGTTTATGATTAAGTGGAACATTTACGATTACATTGAATTGTCAGTTCCTATTAGCAGTATTGATGATGGACAATTATTTACAAAAGTTGACCCTGTATGTATTATTTCATTACACGCGGGGACTAGAAAATCCTCCAGACACAAAACGTGGTAACTATTTCAATGTGTCCCAACACTTGTCTACAAAACATGTCAAGAACAACTCCTGATGAGAAGCGAATTACCAATTGTCTCATCATTATTATACCACTCAATTACAGTTGATGACGACACGCCCACATCAACACCATTCATTGATATGATCCCGGATTTGTTGTGAAAACAAGATGTAAACTTATCACGGATTATCATCAGCATCAGCGGATTACGGGATAATCTGTGTTTGTTTATTCGGCAAACATGGCTGTCCAAATATGTAAGAACCATGCCCGATCTTTCCACTCTCATATAATACAATCATTGCTTCGTGGCGCAACCTACATGTGCATCTGTATCCCTCTATAGCACGTTCAGTGCTTTCAATGTATTTAATGTATCCTTTCATGTGAAAAGTTTGTATACTAATATACCCCATGATCTAGGACTTGAAGCAGTGCAATATTAGTTGAATAAGCATCCAGATGCCATTGACTGAAATTTCACGCATACGTTCATCATGGAATCTTTGAAATGTATACTGGAGAACAGCACGTTCTATTTCAACAACAAGTTTTATCAGCAAATAAACGGAACAGCCATGGGAACAAAGTAGCACACACATACGCCACTCTGGTAATGGGATACTTAGAAGAAATGTTATATTCCAAAGCAGATTATTTGGTGGATGTAAATACAGCTAAACATATTCAAACAGACAGACAGACAGAAGTTTATTCAATATTTTAGGCCATATGACCTATAGTACAGAAGTGGGGTTTGTTTTGTATCAACATTGTACAGTCACGTGAAGGTAATAATAAGTTTACATATGATATTAATGTCTAATTTCAAAAATCTTCTTCCGGAATATTGACAGAGATGATATTGTAGTAGCATTGCGGGAGTTCAACAAATTTTCCATCAGCTGTTCATCTTTGTACATAGTTGAAATCATAGGGAGGTATCTATTTCTAAGAAACTGATAATACAAATGAGAAGTACATGAAACTCATCCTCAACATAGCTTTCATTACAATAACGGCATAAACTACTTTCTTTATCTTGTACATTTTTCTTTCTGAGATTATAAACATTAAAATTATGTAATGATATACGTAATATACACAAAGATCTTCTCAAAGTTCTATCCCTGAAGGACAGATACATATTTTTCAGGAACAAGTAGTGATTTTATATTCGTATAATGGCATAAAAACCTTGAGGATGATATTTGACAGTGCCAATCTTGTGAAAATATATCAAGTAATCTTTGCTTAAGCATAAAGATAAATAATTTAGCATTTCCAACACCTTGAGATGTCCATGCAAGAGAAAAACCAGACATACAAAGAATATTCCTGATATCAGACACCCATAAACAATATTTACCATTTTCATCCAAGGCTTTTAACATATTATAACAATGAAGAGGAAATCTATTTGAATTCATACGCAGTAGCATTATCCAATATTCATTTATGAAAAATATAAATAGGACAGGGCTGAGTACACAGCCCTGTCCTACACCAGCTGAAGTTCTAAAACATTCAGTGATTCCTTTATCTGTCTTGATACATGCCTTAACTGATGAGTACATGCTCTGTAGAACGTTTGACAATTTGCCTGTTGATCCTTTAGTAATTTAGCCTTTTTGAAATCGATAACGGCACAATAAAAACGGCCCTTAGGTTTAATAAGATATTTTGTACACAAAGATTGAAGAATAAATATATTGTCTGATGGAGAATAGTTGGGTCTAAATCCAGCTTGGGATTCCGATAACAGGTCATTCACATCTAACCATGTTCTAATACTTTTTTCAATTACAACAGAAAACAATTTGCCAGTCACATTTAAGAGAGAAATAGTTGTTGCTTGGATCAGATATGTTTCCAGATTTATGTACAGAAATAATCATTCCTATATTCCAGGAATCTGGAAAAACACCAGTATCTAGAATTTTATTTAAAAGCTGCCTGAGATAAGTGTTTATGAAATTTGTTATACTTTTCAGATATTCAGGGGGTATACCATCCTCACCAGCTGCTTTATCCACTTTTAACTCATTTAAAGCTTGTTTAATTTAATTTTCAGTAATTTCACCTGATAAGAACTGGTCAGTAAAAGGCATATCATTACAATGTTGACATGAATGGGAATCTACAAATTCCTGAACTGATTTATCAAATCCATTCACATCTCTGTTAAAAGCTGGATTTAATAAATCCTTAAAATATCTAAACCAAGTGTCAGGGGTTATATCACCTTGTCGTGCGTTACTTCTCAAATAGTGCTTTATAGTCTTCCAGAACTCTTTACAATCACCCATATTTGCAGCCTCGGTTAATTTCTGACTCATATGCATTTTATACTCATTTTGTTTAGTTTTACACTTCTTTCTGAATTCAATTTTTGCACATAAATAGTCTTTTAAGTTTGAGTTACTCTTGAATGATCTGAAACGATTTAGTAGCATGTATTTCTTAGATTTAAGTTGACAGCACTCTGCATCAAACCATAACGGTAGCTCTTCACAGGTTTTATTTCTAGACCATCTGCAGACTGCCACCGCCTTTTCCCCACACTAGATAAGTATATCAGCTAATTTCATAACTGCAGCGTTTATGTCAGTTTGCAAAACGGAAATAAAATCGTCAAACATTCGACTGCTTTCTCTGCTAAAAACATATTCTTGATATGCTGGTATTCTGTCTATAGGAAGCCTATATTTAGGAACAGGAGTGAGGGTAATACCAACAGTGTAGCTTGCTTACTTTGTAACTCTGACGTGAAGACATGTTCCATACTACATAGAATCGACAAGTAGTCAGACTCGGTTCTGTTAAAAAACACCAAATCAATAACCCTAGCGAAAACCTCAGATGATACAATAAAGTAGTCATCAGTACTACACCCAGTATGGGAGACAAAAGTAAAATCTCCATTTCTATCAGATGTAGTGGATGTAAATACAGCTAAACATATTTGTGAAACATGGAGAAGATATCTGGACGACAGTTTTATTATTTGGTTCTAAACAGTGAAAGAGTTTCCGGAAGATCCTGGATCCGATCCATTCTCTATGGAAGGTGACCACAATGAGATTTCATTTATTGACGTGAAAGTTATTGAGCAGGGCGTCCAATTGAAAACAGATATATACCACAAGCCGACGGACATGCATCAATACCTACAATTCAATTCATGTCATCCGCGGCAAAAAAAACTCAGTAATTTTACAGAATTAATTTTCTTTTCTTGCATTATTAGTATTGAAAGATAGCCATTCCATAGCATTTATTCATTGATAGTCAGATGAAATGTTACAAGACCAAGCAAAAATACTAAATTAATTACATTGCTGATAAATGTAGAGAAAATAGAAAAAACGAGTTGATCGTAAACACCGATCGAAAATTCGGGGCAACCCCGGAAAGTAGTTCCGGCAAAAGTTCACACGATCAATTTCGCAAAAAATTGTTCACCTCGTGTGAACTTTTTTTTGTCCGTTCACAGGTGTGTGAACTCCAAACAGATCACGTGACTACCCATTCAGCCAATCAGCATGAAAGAAACAGTGTAAACTTCAAAGTATGAAATTATTTGCATTTATGTGTCTCTTACGTCGTTTTGGCTGGACAATACACGATCTATGTTGACATATTTAATAGATGCATGTATTACAATTTGCACTTGATTAAGGTATGTCGTGTGACGCAACAATAAACTTTATTCTTATCGTATGAACGAATCAGATCAATGGAAGAGCACCAACTCACGACAACTGCTCATCGTGTTCATTGACAACGGGATAATGAATGATTATATGTGTGGAATAATGATATCAATTGTAGTTATTTTCACTCAAAGACGACCATATATCGATCATTTGATGACAGCGTTTATTCAGTAATATTTTTTTTAATTTGAAGTTTACACGATATACGGCTTTTCCATTGGACGAGAGGACGGTCACATGACCTCGAAATTGACGTTCATAAGTGTATGAACGACACAATTTGACGTTCATACGTTTTTCACGAGACCGTGTTCTTGAAATGACGTCAACACTGACGGACTTCTTCCACATTCCTGGGGAAACCCCTGGGAATTCCCCAGCACGAAAACATACATAAGTGTTCTATATGATCATTTAGAACCTTTATTCTTGGTCTCAGCGTTTCAGTATACATTGAGAAATGTCAGAGAGCGTCACTACATGATTGTTTACGAATATCCTCGCCACGGCCTATCCTAATGAATAAACGAAGAAATGCACATCTAAACTATCATAGTATCGACTCGATCCGTCTCTTCGGCTGACAATGACCGTCTCCAGCAATCTATGAATTTACCTTTGTGTCTGTTTGACGCATCTTTATTCACCTTTGCAATGATCGGCCAGTTGATCAATGATGACTAACACATGTAACCGCCACAGGTTCATTAACAACTTCGGAAATCTCTCCCGTCACGTTTATCGTGTCGGCCATTTTGACGTCTTGTACTTGTTGTAAATGTATTACGACGCGCTGTCATTGTGACTGACTTAATGAGGTAGTTCTTTACAGAACTTTCTCATCTAATTAGGATATGATTTGAAGACATGTGCTGCGTAAGATGTTTCTGAAGAGCAAGTTGTACATCCATACGCTCATGCCACTTCTCTTTTTTAGGAACTATTTTACTCCGCGATATAGCTGGTTGTTGTATGGCTCTCATTGTAAACATGAAGTCGGATTACGGGATAATCTGTTTTTCTTTATATGGCAAACATGGTTGTCCAAATATGTAAGAACCATGCCCGATCTATCCACCCGCATATGTCAACTATTAATACAATCATTGCTTCGTTGAGTAACCTACATGTGCATCTGAATCCCTCTATAGCACGTTCAGTGCTTTCAATGTATTTAATGTATCTTGTATATTTTATGTTTGTTTCATATATATATATATATATATTCGCGTATTGGAAACATGATCTGTGACAATATGAAGAATAAACATATAAAGAATAAACTACATTGTATATACACGTATAGCAAACACTGTCTGCGACAATGTGAACTATCTGCGTTTGTAGGAAGCACAGAAAGCGATAGTGGGAAGTATATACATGTACATTTATAGGAAGCACTGTCTTGAATAATGTGAACTATTTGCGTGTGTTGTTAGCACTGACGGCGAAATGTGAAGTGTAATACGTGTATAGGAAGCACTGTCTGGGACAATGTGAGCTATATACCTGTGTCGGAAGTACTGTATGGGACAATGTGAGCTATGTACATGTATCGGAAGTACTGTATGGGACAATGTGAGCTATATACATGTATCGGAAGTACTGTATGGGACAATGTGATCAATACACATACAGAAGGCACTGCTCGGTAGGAAACAATATGTATCTAGAACCTGGACACTATGCCATGATACCAAACATTAACACAAATGTGAAACGTATCAATGTGCTAATCAGCTAACCAAACGGTAGATGAATGCGCGAAACCAAGAAATTAACAGATCATGAATCAGAAATACAAAAGAGAACGTGTTTATTACAAAACGGTTGTAAAATTAACAAATACAATTGAATGTGATATATGATAGAATACAAGTATTGTTCAATATTGTTTCTATTGAACTTTATATATAAATTTTCAAATTTTTAAGTTTGTTGTTTAACGCCGCAATCAGCAATATTCCAGCTATATGACGGCGGTCTGTAAATAATCGAGTCTGGACCAGACAATCCAGTGATTGATATCATGAGCATCGATCCATGGAATTGACATCGATGACATGCATCAACCAAGTCAGCGAGCCTGACCACCCGATCCCGTTAGTCGCCTTTTACGACAAGCATAGTCTCCATTTACGGCAAGCATGGGTTGCTGAAGACCTATTCTACCCCGGAATCTTCACGGGTCCAAATTTTTAAGCACGACATCAACAATATATTATACAATATCATACAATGACAAAGAATAAAATACACCTCCTTCATAGATCTATGAAATAGTGCAAGTCAAACATGTAGAATATGTTTATGCCCTTGACAAATATATTATACAATGCCATAAACATACACTGCCAATATTAATGCAACTTGTATACTGTGATTAAACGCTTTGATGGTGTGACTGATGGATTCACACACTTAATTAGTTACCAATTTGTTTTGTTCTCATTAAGTGTAGGAATTATAATCAGGTATAATCTTAACTGACATTTTAGTTAATAATTCCAGCATTATTAGTGAAATGCCATACCCAAATGTTCTTGGCATTACATATTTACTATGAAGACAACTGAACAAAAATGTTAAAAATGTAATGTACTCTGTGATTTATGCATCTTACAAACCACGACCAGTAGTGTGGGATATACGTGTTGGAACACCTCACATGCAAAAAATCTTATGTTTCAAGTAATCGGGTTCATTGTTGAACCTAAGGGCAGGCCAAGCAACTTCTCATCTCCGCCATTTGGTTAAATCGATTGTTGGAAGATCGTTGCAGGGTATCATGGGATTGCTGTAAAATACAAAAATTATGTCATCCCATTAAGATAGCAACATTTCCGTCAGCATACTTCATGTGATCAGGTTTGACATTCGTATCCTATATAACTGAATGAGCCTGAATATGTTACATTCAAAGTGTGTCACGAGGTGTAAATGGATCCAGGTTACAATTCTGATCAATGTTCACTAAATGAAGTACGTCAGATATACCCTGTCGCTTATTAATATGAGTTCTGTCCGTGTGAAATAATTAATTACTGACAAGTGATGAAGCTAGATGTCTTCATTGCCTACCTTTCTTTTGAGTACACTGTAAAAGGATCTCTTTGGATGGACTTCACTCCTGAATTCCTACAAAGAATTTTGGCAAAGCGCATTCGTCGGATCTCAGACAGTTGTCCTGAAATAGAAAATGCCATTATTATTTATATGTACAATCACTTTGGAGAACAAGAGAGTATCTTTCCACACTATTGTCAGTGAAACAGCAAAACATTTTGATGAATAGCATGAAACGTCACACAAACAAAATTGTATAGCGTTTTCATCTTAAAGGTATGTTAGGTTATCTAATAAGTACATATTTTGACATAAAACAAATATGTTAACAAACCATACAAGCACGCAGAAATACAAACAAATTTGACAGTACCTGATGTAAAGCCCTTTCTTGGATGAGATGTTTCGAACCAGAATGAGTCGCCATATTTCAGATCATGAAACTGTTGACCAATCAGACAAGCGAGGAGTGGGCCCACTGCACCGCCATGCAAGTGTTGTTCAGCTACTGCACCGGTAAATATGTCGATGTCATCAGGGGAACTGAAGCAAGAATACACATATGTAAGGAGATCTTGAGAAATGTCAGAGAAGAGTTAAACTATCTTTATTTTTTAATTTTGTTACACTAATTCTGTTCACATATAAGAGTAAATTAGATAAGACAAACCTGTATACACTTTTCAAAGCAGGTCCTGCTTTACCAAATACACTGTCATCAAATGAAGTCACTTCCGATAGCTGGCATGCCTTGCGGAAGTTGTTGTATGATGGCAGGCCATGGTCACGACCTCTCTGAATGTTTAAGGACACGATGTCAAAGCCGTTATTGCCCGACGTCTCAAACAAATGCTCAGTCATCCCACTGTTGATGAAGCGGTTAACCTCCTGATGTCTGTCCTTGAGGATAGCCTTCAGCACGGTGTCCAAATCTTTGATGACTTCAGAAGGTCTGTTGAAGAGCTGTTCTATTGGTACATGTCGATCTCCGAGGGTAAGGAAACGTGGAATGGTGGAGTGGCCGTATCTGAAGGCGGCGGTGGCAAAGACGTTGTAGATGGTGGGGTTTTGGGTGATGTTGTACCTGAAGCTGAAGCCAGGGGTCAGTCTGTACTTCCTCATGGCCAAGGGCCCAACAATAATGGGCAACCATTCGCGGTAAGTGACTTGTTGGATGATGGCTGACACGATCTTTCTGGCCTCCTCAAACAAGACATCATCAGGAGTGGTCGATGGCATGACATCAGCAAGTTCTTTGACAAGACGGTTGTGTTCTCGGACAAACACGGTGTGTAGCACGGCCAGACCAGGGAACACGTTCACACGGTCGTCACCTGATGATAAAGTTAGTTATAAAGAAGTTGTGACAATGTTGTGAAATGAATTATCCATATCATTTCAAATTGTACCAAATAGTCATGTGTGAAGTACTTTATGAACAGACTCTGAAAATATTACTTTGAATACATTAATAAGTTGTATTTACCGGCTTCAAAACACCATTCGTTGGTATTGCTTGTACGACAGTTGCCTTGGTTGGATTCTGGCAACAGGTTATCTCCCTTGATTTTTAAGTAGGCTGAAAAGTTGAATGACGACATTTATTTGTATGTAAAAATTACTCTCGGGGGTATGCTGTCAAAATGTAACATATTTCTTTTATCACAAATTATAATTCATTGCTAAATATTGCCTGACTTACGTCCGTTCCTGAGGTGATTGATCTGATCCTGACTGAGGCCGTACACGTTAGAGGCGTCCACGAAGGACGTCAGTAGGTTCAACTGTTCCCGGGTATCTGGAAGTGACATGGTTTTCAATTAAACATGGGTATTATCATACAGTGTTGTTTATGGCTTCGTTACTTAATACGTTATGTTAAAAAGAACAGAAAAATAATGACTGAACAGCCCAATATTGAGATGAGGTAACCTTCACAGCTTAGTATTCATATACTCACTCCTTCCAGGTGCTGGGGCTGATCTTTTGAACTCCATGCAGTTCTTTTGGGAATGTCCTTCATTTACTGGCATGGTGATCGGGAAACAAGGGCCGCTGGAACAGCGAAATAGCAAAAGAATTAACATGTTTCCTTGTTCCAATCAAACATTGTTATGATAATGCTTGTGATATGTTATGATGCACAAGCACATGTATGTGATGTACTCGGGATTTTACAGTAGAGGTTTATGGTGATGGAAAGGCTTTTTTCTCTTTCATCCTTATTGTAATAATGTCTACAATGCCACGTAATTTCAAAGTCTGTTCTTTATTCTAAATATGACGACCAGTAATTTCGATTAACCGAAACAGAATGATTAAGTGTGGAAAATATAGAATGTTGATTGCTTACCCAGCTTGTACATCAGAATGCATCTCTCCTGTTGTGTGACCGTCGCAACATTTGGAGTGAACATCACCTTGAAGGAATATGAGGATTTGTAAAGTTCACAGATGGATAGCTTAATGATGAAAATAGGTTCGAAAAATATGGATTACAAAAAAAAATATATCACAGTTTGTCTGATTTCAACATCACACTTCTGGTCACTTTGATAGTCAGAGAGTTTTGGCCACTTGGCACCTACCTGCATGGAGAGGAGTTCCGGTGAGATCATGGTCCACAAACTGCCCCCACTGCATCACCATCACTGTGTGGTCGTTAGAAGGACTGTCAACTCCCGGATGTACGGCCACACTGATGGCACGTGGACTGGGAAGGGGATAACCATCAACGCCTCTCATTCGGGGAACGAACTTGCCTGGAAAGCCAAACCTTTGCTTTAAAAATTCCCTTGCGCATAGTTAGTTGTGATATTGAAAGGGCATAACTAAATGTCAATGGAATAATTACAAGACTTGCTATCAAACGGTCTGGTTTATTAATTAATTACCATGGTTATTAGCATGAAATAATGATTTTTAAGTTCTTATATCAATATGATATCAGAAGAAAACCTGCTCTTTACCATCATCATATGCAGGATCAATAAATCTCTTGAATGGTTGGTTGGTGGATCCCCATGTTGGCCAGCGAGCATTGTTGCAACTTCCGTCCATTGTCCGGTAGCCGACGTCTTGTTTGCAGTCGATAGAGCGCCGTCTGAGAAAGTGAATGATGTTATCAAATCTGATGGTAATTAGTGTCGATATCAACTATATTAAACTCTCAACTACAAACGAAGGTGTCCATAGATGAGAGTTAGTACGAAACTGACCTGATGGTGTGTTTGTCTTGATACTTGGATGTGCTGATGTCGTCTAAGGAGATCTGAGACGTCTCGGCGGCGTCAGCCAGTGTACAAACAACATACTTGTCTTCGTCATCAACTACGTCAAAGTAAAGGCATCAACACACTGTTTACTATCATGGGACAATTTCAGTGTCATTTTACTTCGGAATTCTTATCAAAGGTCCCAACATCTGAACTAGTTGATGTTATAAAGTGTATAATGATGTTTGAAGACGCGTATCAGCAAAATATTTGTTTCAAATAAATAGAATTTGTAATCGGTGTGTCTCATATGCAATAAATCCTTTGAAGTATACACATATAAGTTATATTGTTTCAAAACAAAGTGAGTATCTAAAGCATGGTATAATGCTTCACAATATAATGAAAACTGGACTAAAGTAGCGACCAATTCAATGTATTTACTGACAATAAATACAGTATGATCAGATTTGTCAGTTAAACAAATCGCCAAATCATGGATAGTGATGCCGTCAATGTTGAACATTTAACTTCTTACCATGCAGGAGTCTGAACATGATGTCCATTATTCTGATTTCTCTGTCCAGCGTTTGTCCTTTAACTGTTCCTTGGTTGTCACCCCACGTCGTTGGTGAAGTTTGTGTCGCACCAGCAACATAATCTAATAGGTAAGTAAGTAGGTTTGAACATCAGCATAGAGAAATAGGGCTGTCATAGATTATGAATGCAATCGAAAAAACATTCATACTCCGCCACCCTATATTTTCTTCTGTCTAGTTGTGTTAAACCGGGTATGTGAAACAATCTGGCAGTATCAAACCATCGTTCAGGGTATATCCAAAACCATATTTACTCATCTTATGTCTGTATATCTCTTTCAATCTTAGAATTCAAGACAACATTATTATCTCCAACCATCGTTACATCAAATGTGTATCTCGACTTGTAACAATGTACCCGGTGTGAACTTACTGTTCGTTTTGGACAAATCAGTGACATCGTCAGAGAATTTCTTGTTGGTCTCACGGTCCATTCCAAACAGATCTGATTGTATTGCCTGGACTGAAGGAAAGGTAGTTTACTAAAAAGCTCAGCTAAACAAAATATAATATCTATACTTTAATGCATTCAAATTATATTTAGTAAAATTCATTAAAAAATTTACGTCACTACATTGAAGGACTAAGCATAATAGTTAGTAGAAAGTTGGCATGTTTAGAACTGATATCACTTTATTTCAGCATGTAACATGATCCCAGTTGCGTGAGTTACACCCAAGCAGAAGGAACTAAAATAGTATTATTCGATCCTTCACTATTGCTTGTCAAGATTTATTTCATTATTTTTAAAAGACTATACTCACGTTGCTCAATGACGGAATTGATATTGTTTACCTATAGGGAAATGAGTGAACATCGGTTAAATAATCGGTCAAGGTTAAAACAGATGTGATAATTTCAAACACCATTGGTCACCCATAAGTTTGAACATGATGAGAGAAAGCAGTTTTAGAACCATAAGTCCATAGTTAGAAATTACATAACATTTCTTATATGTACTGATTTTCTACAGACATTCAATGGCCAGATAAATACTAATACCGATAATGAGAAGAAGAATAAAAAGAAAAAGTAGAAGAAGAACCCAAAAACAACCTACCTCTTTGACCGCCTCTCCAGCAGTGACCACGGTCAACATACACACAAACAACACAACTTTCATCGTTTCTGCTTCTGTCCAGTACAAAGTTGGAATGTCTGATACACCAAAGATGGGACCGTGTATTTATACTCATATTCCTGGATTAAATCAACACAGATTACCCTTTAATTCACTCTCCCCTGGTGGGTATAATCCGACATCTACATGGGGGAACTAAACATTTTGGATTATGTAGAGGCAGGCTGATTATCCCGGAGCAGCGTCATCACCTCCATTGTTCTTGGTGTGGTGTATAAACACCAATAACGAGGCAGTTGGTAAACTGCTTCTCATCAGAGGGTATTATTGACATGCATTGTTATGATTATATGTCATAGTAATGTAAAACTAAGAACTGAAACTGGAGAAAGTATTAGTTTCTTGTTAATTGACCTAAGGAACTAATAAAATAATTAATGTATCCAACAATCTCTAAGGAACTTCTCCACAAAATATGTCACGTGACCCTTCCCTTCAGATATGTAGTTCTTTTAGCTTGAACATCACAAGGATCTAATCAGTATATTAAATTTAACTTGCTACTGTAATTTTAATCGTTTTCATAATATACTTTGAGGACATATTTTCAATACACCATCTCTTTCTTAATCCGACTAACAGGATCGGATGGTCAGGCTCGCTGACATAATTGATGCATGTCATCGTTTCCCTTTTGCGTAGATCGATGATCATAATGTCAATCACTGGATTGTCTGGTCTAGACTTGATTATTTACAGACTGCCGTCATATAGCTTGAATACTGCTTAGTGCGGTTAATTCATTTTTATTTACACAGAGAAGTTTTCAAGTAGTAGTAGTAGTAGTAGTAGTAGTAGTAGTAGTTTGTTGTTGTTGTTTTAGTAGTGGTATCCAATACGTGTCTGAAGTATCACGTGCCCATGTTATCTGCCAAAGATTCGCTTATCCATACTCGATGAAACATACATACTGACTGTTGCATATATCAACGTTGACAACCAGTACTAACTTTCCAGAATTATTATTGAGATATGTGTGTACAACATAAAATGTACGACTGGACTTCGTGTTTATGAATAAGTGGAAAATTTACGATTACATTGAATTGTCAGTTCCTATTAGCAATATCGATGATGGACAATTATTTTCAAAAGTTGACCCTGCATGTATTATTTCATTACACGCGGGGACTAGAAAATCCTCCAGACACAAAACGTGGTAACTATTTCAATGTGTCCCAACACTTGTCTACAAAA